CGCGCGCGTGCGCGTGAGATCTGTGGGTTTCTGGTAGCATTATAGCCTGAAAGGAGGGTGTCTGCTCCGTGTGGGCTTGTCCGTGTGGGCCACACCCTGACCCCCTCCTCCCGTTCAGTGCTGAGAGAGGGACCGCACACATAGAATGGAGAGGGAGCCTGGGGTGGACCAGCTGGCTGGTCCGTAAGGTGCTTCCGAAATCACCTGGTGTCTCCACATCCCCGAGAGCCAGAGCATCCTCCTCCTTCTTGCCCCAGGCTGGAGACCCGGCTGAGTGCAGACATGGCCAGTGTCCTGCAGCTGCTGCAGAGGCAGATGACGCTGGTCCCACCTGCTTACAGTGCTGTGACCACCCCGGGGCCCGGCCCCCCCTCAACCTCCTCTCTGCTGCCCGTCAGCCCCATCCCCACCCTCACCCTGGACTCGCTTTCTCAGGTAAGTTCCAGAGCCCTCTGCCTGCCCAAGGCACCCCAGCCCCTGCCTTTTCTGCCCCCGGCCCACTCCAACCTGCTTTGCCGTCCTTTTCCTGAAACGCGGGGCCTCATCTTCCTCCCACCCCCGTTTCTGCCCTCGTCCTGGACTGGACTTTTGAAGGAGGACTGCCTCGGGAGCTGCAGGCACAGGGCGAGGCAGGAGAGCCCCCAAACCAAAGCCCCCAAACAGCAGGACAAAGGAAACCAGCGGGCTGAGAGGGGTCACCTAAACGGCTAGATCTACTCAGGGGGACTGTGTCATGGCCAGGAGGGGTCTCCGAGGCCTGGTGGTGGGTGCTGCGTGCCAGTCCACCCCCGGCACGGGGTCCCTGCCGTGACCGGCCGCTGCTCGGCTCTGGCTCCGCTGCCCACCCGTGGCTCTCACGGTAGCCACTCTGCAGGGTTGTCTCGATGGCCTTGGCCGAGCCCCAACGTGGCGCTTCTGGCCCGCATCTCTCCCCTCCCGTGGGAGTGGGCCTCTGTTGCCCTTCGTCCTCTCCTGAGTGGACTTGTGTGCGTCTGGGCCCCAAGAAGGGGGTTCTTCTGGCTCCCAGAGGTGGCCTGGGATCTGCTCCCCCCTTCCTCTGGCATCCGCTCCCCCTCCCATATGCTGCCTGCTCCTGTTTGCAGACACCAGGGCCCACGTCAGCAAATGTGCCAGTCTCCCTTCACGGCCTCCCCCGCGGAGCTCTCACAGCATGCTCGTCAGCATCCACAAACCCCTCCCGCCTGCCCTGGCACTCTCCCTGGCCTTCCGGGGCCTGGCCGCCAGCCTGCCTCTGCTTCTAGGTCCTTGAGTTCCTTCTAGATTGGAGGAAGGAGCCTTGTTTCTTTTCCTGTCCCAACTCAGGGCCCCTTATTCTGGGTTGGGTTTGGATTCGTCTGCCATGTTCCCTGGGGGGAAGAGGGGAGTGGCTGCAGCCTTGGGCTCCCCCTGTGTCAGGGGCCACTCCCAGGGCTCCCGGCTGCCCGCTTTGGCTCCTGCCCACTGCGAGTGCATTTCTCTTCTTCCAACCTCAGCGCTTGCCTGTTGTGCTCCAGGTCCCGCTCTGTGTGGCTCGGCCCTTGACCTTGTCCCGTTGAGCCCTCTTCTGTTCCCCAGTCCTCTGTCACCGAATTCTCCTGACGCTCCTGTCGTTTGACCCTCCTCTCTATTCACCCGAAAGCCCCCTCCGTCCCCTCACTCCCCTTCCACAGGCTCCTCGTCTGCTCACACTGTGTTCTCTCTGCAGGTTTCCCAGTTCATGGCGTTGGAGGAGCTCCCCCCGGGGACCCCAGAGCTCCCCCAAGACGGCCCCACTCGACGCCTCTCCCTGCCGGGCCAGCTGGGGGCCCTCACCTCCCAGCCCCTGCACAGACATGGCTCAGACCCGGGCAGTTAGTGGGGCTGCCCATTGTGGACACGTGGCTCACCCAGGGTTCAGCGCACTGCCTGGGCCCCTCCCCTCAGAGGCCCTGCCCGGGAGGCCCTGGCCAAGAAAGGGGAGAGGAACATGAAGGCACAGCCCCCTCCCCCAGCCCTTGGGCCCATCTCTTCCTGCAGTCCCCTGGGCCCCAATAGGAGGGGCAGGGGCAGGGACAGGGCCGGGCAGTGGACGGGGGTCTGTGGTCTCCCCACTGCCCTGGGGGCATTAGCTGGTCTAACTGCCCGGAGGCACCCGGCCCTGGGCCTTAGGCACCTCAAGGACTTTTCTGCTATTTACTGCTCTTATTGTTAAGGATAATAATTAAGGATCATATGAATAATTAATGAAGATGCTGATGACTATGAATAATAAATAATTATCCTGAGGAGGCTCCAGGGTGCTGGACCGTGCGGCCCTGGGCCCGCTGTAGCGTGCGTTCACATTCACACATGTGCGCATGCGCCGGGCTCCGTGGGACTCTGGGCGTATCTGTCTGCGTGGGCAGGGTCTGCAGGGGCTGCCCTGATACCTGGGGGTGGAGCGTGCGCAGAAGAGGTGTTCCCTGGGGTCTGCCGTGGGGCATCTCCAAGGCCTCCTGACTCCCACAAGGAGTTCCCAATAGTCAAGCACTGCCTGGACTGTTGTGAATAGAGAGGCAGTGCTCATGCGATGCCAGGACCGGGTCCAGCCCCTCAGGGTCGTGTTTCGCTGGGTGGCATACTGGCTCCCAGAGCTGACCATACACTGGCTTGTCCCCTTACACGCGTCATGAACCCAGCCCACACTGACCCTAACCTGGGGCTGTGTTGGTTAATTCTGGCCCATGTACCCCAACCCCCTGACTTGGCCTTAGCTCGACCCTAACCCAGACTCACTTGGGCTCTGTACAGTTGGGCCCCCACGGTGACCTGACTCTGGGCACACTGGTTTTCTCAGTCTCGACCAGAGCTCCTCAGGTGTGTGGCTGCAGATGGGCCTCGGTCACTATGATCTCTTGAGCACCTGTGATCTTCGATTACTGAGTTAATGCCTAGAGAGAGTGGGAGATTTTGGGTGGCTCATTCTCGTTACTGGGGGAATGAGTCAGAATCGACATCCTGGGGCCAGGGAAGGGTTGTGCCCTTGTGTGTGCCTGCGTGTGCGTATGGTCTTGTGAGGACACACGGCCCCCTGGAGCCGTGGCTGGCAGTGACCGTGGCAGGGCACCTGCTGACCAGCAGGAGGACCCAAGGGGCAGCAGCCAGCTAGTGCTGCCCAAGGCCTCCAGAGCTGGCAGAGCAGTTTCCCACTGAATCCCCACAACCCCTGACCCTTTGAAGTGGGCTTGTTAACCTCGCCTTTTAAAAAAACGTTTGTTTATTTTGAGACAGAGGCGGTGGTGGGGGGTAGGGCAGAGAGAGAGAGGGAGAGAGAATCCCAAGCAGGCCCTGAGCTGTCA